GATGACCAAACTTCATCTCTCATACTTCGGACATCTTGTCAGGAGGGACCAGTCACTGGAGAAGAATATCACGTTTGGTAAGGTGGAGGATCAGAGAAAAAGAGGAAGACCCCCCCCAACAAGATGGATTGGCCAAGTGGCAGGCATCGATGGACTCAAGCATGGCAACAGTAGTGAGGCTGGTCCAGGACTGGGCAGTGTTTCGTTCTGCTGTGCATAAGGTCTCTATGGGTCGGTACCGACTCGATGGCACCTAACAACAGCGTGTCACCCACAGCACTATGTTTCTCAGTTCTGATGTTATAGCTTATTTGTCCAAAGACAGTTAGTAATCTCAACTTCCCCTTATTAGAAGCCAAGGACCTAGTAGTAAATCAGAAACAGGACTCTGATAACCTAAAACAAATGTGATAATGTTCAGACTTACTCCCTTTTTCTCACAGCCCTCTCTTAAGCCCCTTTTACAACCTGAATTAGCTTCATAACCTGTTTTCCCAGTAGAACCAGTAGATTGGAAATGGGGAATGAACTGCTGCTAGATGTAAGTACACCAGTGCCTAGCCACAGAGAAAAGAGAAAGAAAATGACTGGGAAGGGGAGATAGCACTTAACTGCTGGTGTCTACCACATAATAATTGCTCAAAGATACTTGTTGAATTGAATAAGAACTCAACATTCAAACATCTTACTGGGTATGAGTCCTGAGGGAATCACTGTGAAAGGCAAGTAAAATCAGTATTCATGAAGCCCCTACATTTTCAAGTAAAGGTCCAATTATGTTCAATATAATCTGTTTAAGAAGGCATAGAGAAACATATTCAAAATGGGATGAAGTATGATTTATAAAATGTTCCATCAAAATGGTTAACATAAAATTATTGGTGCTTAAAGGTCAGCTCCAATTGTCTAGAAAGTTTGCTTAAGGAGAATACCACTTCATACCAGATAACTGAAGTATTACACATTTCAATAGCCCTCAATGCACTGTTCACAACTAAGAGAATTTCCCCTCAAAACTCCAGTGTTTTCTCAAATTTAACTCCAGTGCCCAGAATGGAACAGCAGGTATAGACTCCCTAGCATAAGGCTTTCTTCCTTAACGAGAGTTAGTATTCTGAAAGGAACCTGAGAAAACACATCCTTCAAGTCTAGCTACATCAAGTCCTTCAGGTCAAACTACATCTTATCATCTTATTCTGTCCCACTACCTGGTAAGGCACTGGTATACTGGACACTGATTCAAGAGACAAGAAAACTAGCTTAGTCCGAGCATTTCCACCTCAGAATCTTCTCATGGATATTGTGTCCAGCCTCAGAGATTCAAATTCTGATTGATAAACTGAGTTAGCATGAATTATGGTTCCTATCACCAAGATCAATCCTAAAGGGACACTTGATAAAAATGTTAGGGGATGGAGGCTGTTATTGACTGGTAGGTGGAAATAGGAAGTGAATTTATCTCGGGACAATGGCAACGTGGCACAAGGAGGCAATAATGTAAGTTTGCTCATAGTTCCTCCAAGCCTACCTCCTTCTGACCCAGTTAGCCTCAAGATTACTGTGCAGTTCAAAGTCCAGGTGCTTGTGAGGAACCAAGAAAAATAGGTAGGAACTAAACAATTTGAGGAGTACTCGTATGATGCTTTAGGATAATCACTTGACTTCCAACCACTGAATCAGTAGTTTAAACTCACCAGCTACTCCTCAGAAACCCTGTACAATTGAACAAACTTCTTGTTGTTGTTGTTGTTGTTGTTAGGTGCCATCAAGTCAATTCCAACTCATAGTGATCCTATATAGGGTTTCCAAGGAGCGGCTGGTGGGTTTGAACAGCCAACCTTGTGATTAGCAGTCCACTGCTTATCCTACAGCACCATACCAGGACTCAACTAGATGACACTTAACAACAGATAACTTCAAATAACTGTTTCAATATCTCTCCCATCCATAATTATTGTTGTTGTTGTTGTTAAGTGCCGTCGAGTCGGATCCAACCCATTGTGACCCTGAACAGGGTTTCCAAAGCTGTATATCTTTACAGGAGCAGAAAGCCTCATCTTTCTCCCGCGGAACAGCTGGTAGTTTCAAACTGCTGACCTTGCGGTTCACAGCCCTATTCGTAACCACTATGCTACCAGAGCTCCTTATCCATAATTAAGGAACTATTATTATCGCAACTAAAAAAAATGGTACCTTTCTAGTGTCCTTTCTTTCTGGGGGACAAATTATAAGTAACTGACTTAGGAACATGTTTTGTGGGTAAAGGTTGTTTGCATGTAGCTTCTGGTGTCTGGGCTCATTCAGTCCCTACCCCCTCAGCTCACATGAATTGTTGTCTATATTATATGACTGAGTAACCAATACCTCTAGGGTAAACGAGTTTATGAGCCAAATTAGTCATACATTTGAAGAGCGCACAAGCATTTCAAGAGTAATACAACAAATTGGACAAAAGGATGGTTTTTAAAAAGAACTTTAAATTTATCTAATAAACAGTAAAAGAGAATAGAAAAGATATTAGTAATATGAAAGTAGAACAAAGAAACAAAAAAATAAAAATCACAAATATTAACTATGAGAGATATAATGTTGCTGTTGTTAAGTGTTGTCAAGTCAGTTCTGACCCATAGCAACCCTGTGTAGGGTTTCTGAGGAGCAACTAGTGAGTTTGAACTTCCAACCTTGCGGTTCAAACTGACTTTGCAGTCCAGCACATTAACCCACAATGCCACACATAATAGCTGATATAAAAGCTGTACATAAATAGCAGAACAGATACAATTGAAGAAAAAGCTAGCAAATCAGAAGAGTATATTGGAGATACCTTCCAGAATTGAGAAATTGAAAAGAAATAGAAGAAATCACAAAAAGAAAACTAAAAGATGCAGACTATAAATGTGGCATCTGTAAGAAAGAGAAATAAAATTGGGATGGAAGAAATATTTGAAGACTTAATGGAGATATACATTTTGAGATTAAAAAGGAAAAGACCACAGATAGAGATAGATATTTAAAGGGGTATAAAACATGGTCATGAGAGATTGTGAACTGGCTAGCCAGTGTGTGGGAAAGAGCTGCCCTTTATAAGGGGTTGTAGGGAAAAGAGACAACAAATGGATTAGCTACATTATAATATAAAAAAGTGCCAGACTTGAATTTCAGTATGATTTATTATTTTAGCCTCAAGGTTCCAAGCCTTGTAGTAACAGTTTCTTGACTTTCTCTTTCAGGATTTCTCGATGTCTCCTTTTTACTATCCTATTTTTCATCAGACTCCTAGGCTACACATTTTTCCATATAAGTTATATAAATCCAGATCTCCTTGTCAACATATTGCCCAGGATATTGAACAGGGGCATTTTGTGGAAGCTAAGATGCATCCTCTTACCATCTCTCACGCTGAAGACAGAGGACATGCTACCTCACTGATCCTAAGACATATGCTTGGCCAACAGAAGACAAGTGGCATTTGAACCTGTAGCTACAAGACGGTGGACTATGTGGAGGGAGGAGAGGAGGACGTTTTCTTCAGAGTTTTTCCCATAAGGTTTACTTACATGACTATCTTCTCTCCCCGTGTTATCTTTCCAAGATTGACCTTGTCCAGTAAACAGCTGTCAATTGGTGCCTGTGACTACATCTCTAAGACTAGTAATTGTTGTTATTGTGTACTGTCAAGTCAGTTCCAACTCATAGCAACCCTGCATAGGGTTTCTGAGAGTGGCTCCTGGGGTTTGAACAGCCGACCTTGGGGTTGCCAGTACAGTATTTACCCACAGTGCCACACAAGGTCCAAGCCTAATAGTACCAGACAGTAGATACACCAAGAAAGCTATGACCCTTTCTAGAATAAGGTCACAGATGCAACTGAAGGTTGAGAAGTTCTTCTAAAGAGCTTCAAAATGTAAAGGACTTGATCCTTGAGATGCAGAAGATAGTGCATTGCTTATGTTAGTTAGAATGCTCTGATTTCAAGTGACCTTAGTTTAAACTAATTTGTAGCACAAATCAGGGATTGTTTCATGGAACTAAAACTCCCTTGAACTAAAAATGGGGCTTCAGGCCTCATTACATCAAGATGGCTCCAACCATGTTATCAGGGTTTCATCTCTCATTCTCATCTCTTTGGATAACCATTCTTTTGTCGTGGCAAGATGGCTGCCAACAGCCTAAATGTTTCATATTACAGATGAGCAATGTCAGCAGATTGAAAACTTGCCAATAATAGCTCCAGCAGTAAAGTCCAGTGGCAGATACAAACTACTATATCTGAGGGTAACTCAATATTATGGTCACAGGGAAGGGGTACTCTGATTGGTCAAACATGAGTCATACATCCAACCCCTGAGGATGTGAGGGATAAGAGAGGGATGAGACAGAAACAGTGAAATACTAACCACCTCAACCTAAAGATTAATAAAGAATATATTTCTCAAAGCTTCCAGAGACACAGAAACAGTTACTGGAAGACAAAAGCAGATATCCCTTAATTGCTCATTTCAGTCTTCACATAAACACTTGAGTACAATTCCATCAATTAAACAAACTCTCAAAGCTGTAGCTTCATGTGTCTTCCTTTCTACCAGAAATAAAGATAACTTCTCTGGATCATAGTTGAGACACGGAAAAGAGCGCAGTACAAGAATCATGTAAATAATTAGGTCTCTAGTGCTAATAATGCAAGCAAGAGTTCTAAAATAAATAGCATATAACTAGTATAAACTAGCTTCCCATACTGAAGGTAATCTATGTATGGTCATACCTCTTAATTTTCCTCTTAATTACTGAAGCACCCACATGCCTTATTAGAACTCTCCACCCAAACTTCCTCTTAAAGTTTTCTCTGCCTTCTAAACTGTCAGAAGCTCTGACAGTTCTTAAATCCAAGAGCAGGGATAACAGAGTTAATTCTAGCTTCCACACAGCAGGGAAATAATTGATCCACTGCTGTTTCTTCTAAAGGCCACAAGGTGTCACTATTGAAAACTGATCCTACACACACGCTGCACGCGCACGCACGTACACACAAAGTAGTAGTCAAGTGGTTTCTGGCTTTGCCGTCCTGGTGTGGCGCTGTGGGTTCATGCGCAAAGCCGTTTGAACTGCAAGGTAGGCGGTTCAAAGCCTTATACAGGGTCGTTATGGGTCGGAACCCACTCGACGGCACTTAATAACAACAACAAGGTTAAAGTAGAACTGCTCTACAGGATTTCCACGCTATAAATCATTACAAAAACAGGTTACCACAAAAGGAGGGGAGTGGTTAACTTTGCAGTCTTGGAGCGGAGGTCCCTGGGACCATCAAGGGAAAAGAGCAGAGTGCGGGACCCTATCCAGAGAAACTGACTTGCGGGGTGTATCCTTTGGTTGTTTTATGATGCATGGAGGGGACTGTAATCATTGCAATGAAACGAAATACGATAGGATGAATGTAAAGTTAATGTTCTCCCATGTAAACTATCACTTAATTCACAATAAAAACTTGAAAAAAAAGGGTTCCCACATCTTTCTCCCATGGACCCTACATAGGGTGTTCAAATGATTTATCATACAAATTGAGACTCACTTGATAATAAAAAGGAGCACTATTAAGAATTAGACCAGGACAAGAGCAAACAGGACTGTTTCATCAAACCAGGAAGTATGGTTACTTATACATACAGTCCAAGATCCTGTTTACTTCTGTGTATTTTACTACACAGAAGATAAGCACTCAGCTTCAAGTTCAGTTTGAACTGCAAGGTTGGTGGTTCAAACTCAACAGCCGCTCCTCAGAAATCCTATACAGGATCGCTATGAGTCGGAACCAACTCGATGGCAAATAACAATTTTACTAAGAGGGACTCCTGGTGTGGTGCAGTAAACCACAAGGTCAATAGTTCAAACCAACCAGCTGCTCCTTGGAAATCCTACATAGAGTTGCTATGAGTCGGAAAGGACTCGATGGCACTTAACAACCACAAATTTTACTAAAGTAGGCAGATACTATTCTTCAATAAAGGATGTTAATCTTAGCAAAGGATGTCCCATGCTTGGTGTTCCAACTTCCTTTTCCCATTCAACCCTCCGCTACTGGGTCAAGTTCCTGGCGGATCAAAACTGATTCTGGTTTCTGTATCCTTTCCTCCTGACTGCCCGGAAAAACCTTCATCCCATAGAATCAACCATTCCTTAAAGACACAACCCTCAGAGGCCAGGAGTCTTACTTCTGAAGACTCCACCCTCAAAGCACAAAGCACGTAAGCATGCCCTTAGCTGCTACTCCTCTCACCCAGAGAGCCTCCAGGGGCACATCTTCCCTCCCTGATACTTTCCAGGCATTTTCTGGTACTTCTGTTTTTATAAGGCAGTATTTGAGTTCCTGCTCTTTTCTGTGGTCAGACAGGATATACTGATCTGGTGTCAGCTGATCTGTTTAGTCAGTATCTCTATATAGCTACAGTTCAAAATAATTACTGTTCATAATGATGAGTTCATACTGCTCATGATTCAAGAAGAGAAAAGAAAGGAGAACATTTATTCAATCTCTAGTAATGTGCTAGTGTTGGGATAAGAGACAAAAAAGACAATCTTTATCCTTGAAAAGTTGAGAAGGAGAGAAAGAAATATTGCATGTGCACAAAACGAACCAAATGATATAAAAATAGTGGTGATTCCCTATGTCTGTGTCCAAGAGGAGGTACCACCAGATCCATGGCTTATGCTAGACTAGAGGGGAAGTGAAGGGCCCTTACTGGTACAGTGGGTTGAGCATTGGGCTGCTAACCACAAGGTCAATTGTTCATTCACATTGGGTAACAGTGGAATTCTGAGATTCCATGAAATCAGCCATAACCTGTTGTCACTTGGCAGCCTCTGCAGCATTCAACTGGACTTTCCTTTTGGCAGAAGTGGCACAGCGTCATTCTACCAATGGCTCACTTACTCATTTTACTTTGGCCAGGAAACACGATTCAGCAAGAACTCCATCCACACTTCCTAAACTCGTAAATCAGAAACTCAGAATCATGGGGGAGAAAAGCACTTTCACACACAGTGGTTTTATAGTCATTTATTTTTTAAAAGATTTCATTATTCATCACTGTATTTTCTCTGCTAGAGCTAACTGTTAAGTAGAATAATGCTGAGAAACATACTAGGAATAACTATAGGGGACTCAAATCCCTAAGGCCACCTAGAAATCCACAGAACTTCTCTTTTTGTTTAATCTACTTTGTAGGTAAATATTGACTGCAGTGTTGGGAGGCATATCCAGAATATAGTAGCTAATGGTTTTTGTCATGTAACATTATTATTATGGAAGGGCAATATTTTAAGATGGTTTTCATTTTTTTAAAGCAATGTAAAAATGAGCTGTGATAATGAACTTCTTTCTTAGCTTTTTATTTCATGACAGCTATTAACTGTTACCTTAAAAGAGTTTCTGATTTTAATTTTCTAGTACTGAGAAACAGATCTTCTAAAGACAAAGTTCAATGATAAAATTACTGTTTGAAAATTCTTTCTGATAAAGAGCAAAGCTAACAACAAACAGTAACTTTTTGTGTTTGCTGTGAAAACTCCGGAAAGAGAATATTTATAGGTAGTTTGGGGGTCAGAACCTGGCTAGTAACAGACAGGGGACTTAAGTTGCTGCTGGCTGTCTTATTTTTCCTGTTGAATATTTCCCGCTGAAACAGCTGTAGCTATAGCATCTGGCCTTCCAAACAGTGTCTAGCTAAGGCCACTGAACAACTAACTTTGGGGATTACTTTTAGAATAGCACTTTATTGAGTGTTTGGTAGAAGTTTACCCAGCAAATTAGGTTCCCATTTGACAGGTTCCACACAAACTGGCCTGTGGCATGAATTACATTTATCAGAATGTGCCAACATTCTCCTTGTATTCAGTTTGTTCCCTTTCCAGGACTCTAGTTTCCCTATCTTCTTATCTTCTCATCTTTGTTTTTGAGCATTTTTGGCCTTTTCAGCTCATACTGATGGTTGTTAAGTAGGGAACCGATCTTATGGGCAATACCCTTGATTTTATGTGCCACTTTGCTATTTATTAATGGTAATCTCAGGGGATAGGCTTAGGTCAAACTTTAAGAAGCATCTCAGGGCCGTACTCTCAGGGAGGCCTCTGTGATACTTCCCTCATGAACAGTAGAGGGCTCTGTTCCATGTCACATGAGAGTTCTCCTGGAAGCTAGTGCTTCAAAGATGGAAATCTCATCCCACTATCAGGAGAACAGGTAGTGAGGGTTCATGATAATGACCAGCCTGTCCCGTTTTTGGCAGGTTCATCTGCCGAGTTTGAACATGAAGAACACAGATGATAAACTATGAGTACTATGAGTACCCCATCCCAAGGCCGTGTCACTACCGACAACATTTTCAGAATGGGTACCGAGGATGAGGATTTCCTTATATAATCTCTGTTTACAATCT